CTCGGTCTTACATTGCCAATACCCTCTTGTCTCGGTTTTACATTGCCAGTACCCTTTTGCCTCGGTCTTACATTGCTGATACCCTCTTGCTTTGGTCTTACATTGCCAGTACCCTCTTGCCTGGGTCTTACATTGCCAATACCCTCTTGCCTCGGTCTTACATTGCCAATACCCTCTTGCCTCGGTCTTACATTGCCAATACCCACTTGCCTCGGTCTTACATTGCCAATACACTCTTGCCTCGGTCTTACATTGCCAATATTCTCTTGCCTCGGTCTTACATTGCCAATACCCTCTTGCCTTGGTCTTACATTGTCAATACCCTCTTGCCTCGGTCTTACATTGCCAATACCCTCTTGCCTTGGTCTTACATTGCCAATACCCTCTTGCCTTGGTCTTACATTGCCAATACCCTCTTGCCTCGGTCTTACATTGCCAATACCCTCTTGCCTCGGTCTTACATTGCCAATACCCTCTTGCCTCGGTCTTACATTGCCAATACCCTCTTGCCTCGGTCTTACATTGCCAATACCCTCTTGCCTTTATCTTACATTGCCAATACCCTCTTTCCTTCTTCTTACATTGCCAATACACTCTTGCCTCGGTCTTACATTGCCAATATCCTCTTGCCTGGGTCTTACATTGCCAATACCCTCTTGCCTCGGTCTTACATTGCCAATACCCTCTTGCCTCGGTCTTACATTGCCAATACCCTCTTGCCTCGGTCTTACATTGCCAATATCCTCTTGCCTCGGTCTGACATTGCCAATACCCTCTTGCCTCGGTCTTACATTGCCAATACCCTCTTGCCTCGGTCTTACATTGCCAATACCCTCTTGCCTCGGTCTTACATTGCCAATACCCTCTTGCCTCGGTCTTACATTGCCAATACCCTCTTGCCTCGGTCTTACATTGCCAATACCCTCTTGCCTCGGTCTTACATTGCCAATACCCTCTTGCCTCGGTCTTACATTGCCAATACCCTCTTGCCTCGGTCTTACATTGCCAATACCCTCTTGCCTCGGTCCTACATTGCCAATACCCTCTTGCCTCGGTCTTACATTGCCAATACCCTCTTGCCTCGGTCCTACATTGCCAATACCCTCTTGCCTCGGTCTTACATTGCCAATACACTCTTGCCTCGGTCTTACATTGCCAATACCCTCTTGCCTTCATCTTACATTGCCAATACACTCTTGCCTCGGTCTTACATTGCCAATATCCTCTTGCCTGGGTCTATCATTGCCAATACCCACTTGCCTCGGTCTTACATTGCCAATACCCTCTTGCCTCGGTCTTACATTGCCAATACCCTCTTGCCTCGGTCTTACATTGCCAATACCCTCTTGCCTCGGTCTTACATTGCCAATACCCTCTTGCCTCGGTCTTACATTGCCAATACCCTCTTGCCTTTATCTTACATTGCCAATACCCTCTTTCCTTCTTCTTACATTGCCAATACACTCTTGCCTCGGTCTTACATTGCCAATACCCTCTTGCCTTCATCTTACATTGCCAATACACTCTTGCCTTGGTCTTACATTGCCAATATCCTCTTGCCTCGGTCTTACATTGCCAATACCCTCTTGCCTCGGTCTTACATTGCCAATACCCTCTTGCCTCGGTCTTACATTGCCAATACCCTCTTGCCTCGGTCTTACATTGCCAATACCCTCTTGCCTCGGTCTTACATTGCCAATACCCTCTTACCTCGGTCTTACATTGCCAATACCCTCTTGCCTCGGTCTTACATTGCCAATACCCTCTTGCCTCGGTCTTACATTGCCAATACCCTCTTGCCTCGGTCCTACATTGCCAATACCCTCTTGCCTCGGTCTTACATTGCCAATACCCTCTTGCCTCGGTCCTACATTGCCAATACCCTCTTGCCTCGGTCTTACATTGCCAATACACTCTTGCCTCGGTCTTACATTGCCAATACCCTCTTGCCTTCATCTTACATTGCCAATACACTCTTGCCTCGGTCTTACATTGCCAATATCCTCTTGCCTGGGTCTTACATTGCCAATACCCTCTTGCCTCGGTCTTACATTGCCAATACCCTCTTGCCTCGGTCTTACATTGCCAATACCCTCTTGCCTCGGTCTTACATTGCCAATACCCTCTTGCCTCGGTCTTACATTGCCAATACCCTCTTGCCTCGGTCTAACATTGCCAATACCCTCTTGCCTCGGTCTTACATTGCCAATACCCTCTTGCCTTTATCTTACATTGCCAATACCCTCTTTCCTTCTTCTTACATTGCCAATACACTCTTGCCTCGGTCTTACATTGCCAATACCCTCTTGCCTTCATCTTACATTGCCAATACACTCTTGCCTCGGTCTTACATTGCCAATATCCTCTTGCCTCGGTCTTACATTGCCAGTACCCTCTTGCCTCGGTCTTACATTGCCAATACCCTCTTGCCTCGGTCTTACATTGCCAATACCCTCTTGCCTCGGTCTGACATTGCCAATACCCTCTTGCCTCGGTCTTACATTGCCAATACCCTCTTGCCTTTATCTTACATTGCCAATACACTCTTGCCTCGGTCTTACATTGCCAATACCCTCTTGCCTTCATCTTACATTGCCAATACACTCTTGCCTCGGTCTTACATTGCCAATATCCTCTTGCCTGGGTCTTACATTGCCAATACCCTCTTGCCTCGGTCTTACATTGCCAATACCCTCTTACCTCGGTCTTACATTGCCAATATCCTCTTGCCTCGGTCTTACATTGCCAGTACCCTCTTGCCTTGGTCTTACATTGCCTCGGTCTTACATTGCCAATACTCTCTTGCCTTCATCTTACATTGCCAATACACTCTTGCCTCGGTCTTACATTGCCAATATCCTCTTGCCTGGGTCTTACATTGCCAATACACTCTTGCCTCGGTCTTACATTGCCAATACCCTCTTGCCTCGGTCTTACATTGCCAATACCCTCTTGCCTCGGTCTTACATTGCCAATACCCTCTTGCCTTGGTCTTACATTGCCAATACCCTCTTGCCTCGGTCTTACATTGCCAATACCCTCTTGCCTTGGTCTTACATTGCCAATACCCTCTTGCCTCGGTCTTACATTGCCAATACCCTCTTGCCTCAGTTGTACTTCCTCTACCATAACCTTGTTGTGCCTTATCCTTCACATAATGTCATAAACTTGAGTGTGAACTTTTTAGTTTAACATGCGCAAAGATACTTTGTTGAAAAGCCAAAGGGATGGTATTCACATGATTATTAAGCAAAGAAACCTTCATGCAAAAGAAATAAAAAGATTCAGATAAAGGAAAAAATAAAGACTTTTACAACCTTCAGTAATCTTGACAAAGTAATCTTCATCCAACCAATACCAACAGTAAACAATTCTTCAGTTCAAATGGAAGTGAGGATTTTTGTTTGTATGATCTTGCAAAATAATTTAACCTTTGATATTAGTAATAAGAGTGTAACTAGGAAGAATTCAATGCTACAGCAGAAGATCATCAAAAGCAGGTTACAAATTGGTCACCAGATCATATAACCAGTAAATGAAAAAAACAATGAAATATTTGCTGAAAATGCAGAGTACACAAACATGACATTGCTAATTTATATACACATTTTCATGGCTCTGATATTGCATTGACCTTACGCTTACAGTGACCTTGACCGTTAACTCACTAGAACTGCTCTTGAGATGCACCCATTGCCCAAGATCTTTGAATTGTGCAAGTATGAGTGCATAAGTAACAAACAGTTATTGGCAGCTCCTTATATACATTGCCGTCATGAGACTCACCTGTAACTTGTGAATTTGTAACACTAAAAATCCACATAGAAATTATCTGAAATGAGGGTCAAAACAAGCTTTCAACCACAAAATTAGCTGCATCTGTGTAAACTTCACAGGTTTCATATGAAAATATAAAACGTCAACACCAGAGAACAACCAGTTTTGATTATCTGATGAAAGAGATTTAATTTGGCGCAAAAGGCAAAATAGCAGTGAAATTTATATGAATAGATCACTGAAAATTAATATCTGGGTCTGATGTCACTGAAAATTACTGATGACACCAGGTGTTCATAAAAGCAACTGGTTGCAGATAAACTAGGAAACTGTAGTTCAGCTGAGCAATAATCCACACCATCAGGTTATGATGGCATTTACAGGTGGACATTTATGAATACCGTATTCGACGTAATAAGCGCCCAGGGCGCTCTCAAAATTAGAAATAGGGGGCTCTCATTAGAATATTATTTTGTCGAAAAAAATCAGAGTTGAAAGATAAATTTTGTGGTATATGCTGACAGCCTGAAATGTTTATATACAACAGATATATTTTTCCAGAATTTAATTGCCCATAATTAAGGGTGCATATAACACATGAGTGCGTAGTATACGCGAAAAAATAAGTATTGTGTACATTGATCAATCGGAAAGGGTGCAAATTGGGATTGTTCATGAGCCAATATATTAGCAAATAATGCCGTGGGCGCTTATTAGAGCGGGTCGCTTATTACGTCGAATATGGTAGACCTTCCCTGGTGTCCATCCATCTGAGTATCATGCATACTCACTCAACAGCCTGGAGAATCAGGACTCTTACTGTATTCAAGAAGCTCAACAGATACTAGTTCTTGGATTAGATGTTCAGCAATATTTCATTTACCAGCGCACCTTGTGAATAACCAGCTGAGTCAGATGAACCAGTGGTTGATGATCAGCAAACAACATAGATGCAGAATGACCACGATCAGTCACACACTGACACTGCCGCTGACTCAACAAGCTGCTCTTATGAAGGCCACGGGTACTGTGGACCTATGCTGCCCTGGGGTCGGTTCCAAAAAGACTATGACTATTATAACTCCTATAGTTTAACATAGACTTATGATAGTTGTAGTCCTAAACTCGCTTTGTGGAAAGCACCCTTGAATCCTTATAATTGGTAGATGTTCTTGGGAGCTGAACCCATATACAATGACAAATACAAGTCAGTTGCCACCTACCCGTATATTGAAGGCAACGGTCTTTCCAACAACCTGAGGCTCCTTCCATTCCCAGTTCACTGTGCAATACTGCGGGGCAGGGTAGCGTCCGGTGAAGAAGTCAAAGATGGCGACCTTTGGAGACGTGAGAGTCCGTTGTTGAAACCACGTGCGATTTGTTCCCAGTAGCATGACGGTTAGAGATACAGACGAGGTCAGGATTATCATACTCACTGAAATAAAGACAAGAATCACTGATTAAATATGTATGAGAGCCTGTAGTTTTTTAAGTCAAGTCTTGTCAGCAGGAACAGGAAGGTGGTTTGTTGAGTAAGAAAACCTCCATACCATCAGGGTCTGATGTCACACAGAGAGATGCAAGATGCTCTATCTGAACTTGACCGTCATTATGGCGACCTGTATCATTGGGGATTTCACCACAAGCCCACTTCAATAGAAGCCATAAGCACAGTTATAATGATAATGGAACAGCAGTCAGTATATTCCAGCCATATCACAGCAGCCTGTCAACAGACAGTGTGTTCTCATCCAGAATCTCCTCAAGGAATTATATATGGAGCTTTCTGAGGCAGGTGTTGAGGTATTGCTTAGCATGCCTATTTTACATGGCTAAGTGTATGTTATTTTTATGTGGTGACTGCTTAATGCACTGTGACAGCTGTCCTTTAAATGATTTTTGAAAAATGCATTTTAAGGTTTGCTCTCTTCCTGTGAGTATAGTTAAACAATTTTTCAGTGAATTTTAAGTCTCTCCATTGGAAAGTATAACCCAGGTCTACATGCTACTGCAAGCAATTAGTCAAAGTGTGTACTCACATAAGAAGCACATAGCAATAGTTTCAGCCAGTGATGAGCCATGAGTGTGTTTTACACTGCTTACAACTCACACTGTCTCAGCTTTATTACAGTGTTTCGGTTACTATGGGAGGAAAGGATTAAATGATGCACATCATAGATATTTACCACTGGACATTGTGATGGATCTGTAAGATGATTATTATCAGGTGGACACTGGAATTAACTGTTAATCAATCCATACCACCCCTGGCCTGAGGTGGTCCACCAACAGTTATCTGATAGGTAGTAAAAACAGAACTGTGTCTGCATGCAGGTCATGGGTGAATAAGGAGTAGAGCTGACCGGTTGGAGAAAAGAGAGAGAGGGAATGTTTGTGTATGCCAGATATGCCTCGCTGTTTGAGTGGCTCGTCACATACAAACATTGTAACTCCAAATTTACGCTTACAAAACTTACAAAAGAAATAATTTGGGATGCATAAGAAAGTGTAAGTATGTTTAAGAGTTAGACATTAATTCAAATGTCAAATAATTTAATTTTTTTTGCACTCATTTTTAATAAAATAATCATCCCATTATACAAACTGACCCAGTTTTGGGGCACTGTCATGCCCACAGGGAACCACCTTTTTCTCAAACATTTTCCAGAGAACACACTGTTAATGATACAGCTTTAACTTAGCTGATTTCGTTTTATAAAACGACAACTTTTCATTGGACAGCGTAAGTCACAGTCCTAATCAGCATGTATGACATTCAGGGGTAACTAGTTTATAAAGTACTGCAGTGAACAACTCAAATGAGTGAGTGTGTGAGTACGGTTATGCAACTTTTAGCAATATTCCAGCAATATCACAGCAGGGGACACCAGAAGTGAGCTTCACACATTATACCCATGTCGGGAATTGAACTCGGGTCTTCGGCGTGATGAGCAAACGCTTTAACCACTAGGCTACCCGACCACCCCACAACTCAAATGAAGTTTAGGACCACCAGATTCTTTCATATTCTCATGGCATGACAGATTAACTACAGTAATAGGAAATAATTGGCTGGTCCTTGACTTCTTTTGAGTAGCATAGCTGTTAACATACCAACCTAAGGAAATGAAAGATATTTCCTCAATTTGTAAGAAGGAAATAGGTGGGACATATATTGGCGGACCAGCCCACATACAATATAGATCTAGTTCACCGACATGCAATACAGGGAAATAGCTTCATGGTTGACCTCAATTCTGACTTCAACAAGATGGCACTGTATATCCATAATGATAATAATATTAACCTAAAGGTTCAACATCAGACTTCAAACTTATAAAATGTTAATCTAAGTTTCATATTTTTCTTATAACTTACACAATGTGCACTGTACCAACTTGCAACAAGTAGAGACGGAGCCAAGCTAAAAGTCACTTTCTAGCAAATATCTTAAACTAGCATATTTTGTTGTGATTGTTAGTTTATGAATAGTAACATTTGTTGTCTGCAGCTAAAACACAGATTGACACCTCGGATTAAATAAAATTAGTTAACAGGAAAACACCATGAAAAACTGTACATTGCCCTGGCATTTTCTTCGTCAGAAAACATTTCCAGGTACTCTGTCAGTCTGGAGAAACATCGCATCAATGAAATGATACAAACACACTTTTGTTATCAGCCTTTGCGTTATTTCCCACAAGTCCTTAACTATTTCAGCATTCAAGTCTAACAAATAGTTTTCATACTTCCTATTATATTAGAAATACTACATCTGCAGCACAAAGACATCCTTTGACAGGCCTTTACCACTGATTTATAAAATATAATTATACATCAGTGCCCCTACTACTAATTGAAGAAGCAATAACATGCAGAATTAAAAACAATTATTTTAAATGTAATATTAATATCAACATTTTTCCATTACATCTGATTTCTTATCAGATGTAATTTTCAAATATTCAAAATAGAAATTTTATTATATTATTATCTACCTTTTACTTATCATAACTGATATGTAATAATGACAATTGGGAACTGCCATCAACCATCCACATAATCTATTTGTACACCATGCACCAACTGTATTTAGTAAAAACTACCAAAATAGATTTCAGTGAATTCTGCATCTTAAGACATGACAATATATACCGGTTCATCACTTAGGACAAAACATACACTGCTCATCCACCAGCGTGAACGTTCCCGATAAAGGTGAAGGCTGCTCGGGTTAACCATCTATAAGTGTTAGAGTTAAAACATACTGTTCATATAGCGTATACCACATACACTGTCAGTTTAAGGTTGATCCAGTTTGGCCAGCACACGTAACAGTACTTTTAAGTGAAGGGAAGATAAGTTGAAAAAGTTTGCCAATTCCAAACAATTTACAACATATTATTTTCAGAACACCTATCAAGTCCAGGAAGTAATTTATTTTTTAGGGAAAACATAAGAATATTTTCAACAAAACAATTGTTGAAAATTCCAAGGCCACCCCAGAATATCAAATGGTCGGTCCCTAAGAAGTCTGACCAATGTCCAATGAGGAGCAAACTCCAGTGTTTCTGAAGCCTGGTCTTCAATCATCATAAATATGTGTGTCATAAAACGCCAAGGTCCCGGCAACACGCTTTTTGAAAACAAAATACTCTTTCTATCAAAACATTGCTAATCCCTACACAAGGACATAACAATGAATGATCAGGAAACACGGCACTTTCGTAAAAATCAATGATGTCTTTGTTTGAATTCAATATTTCTGACGTTCTATCTCCCTGCTGCCGGCCACTCTGGCCCACCCTAATTGTCTGACCACATGGGGATGTCTGACGTGCATGAGAGCGCACATTAATTGTGTTGTGATTACAAAGCAGAGTCTCTTTATACACTAATATACAGGTCATCAAATTCTGGCTGCCTACTGGTTTTATCCTTTGTGGCAGTGGTCGCCTACTACTCTTGCTCAGCCTGGCAAAGGTCAGTGAAAGTTTTTTTGTCTACTCTGTAAGTGGCTATCAACTAGTTTTGTCAAACAGTTATCGTCAACTTCTTTTGCCTACTCTGGCAATGGTCATCAACTGGATTGGTCCATATAATCAGTATTATCACATTATTATAATTATTATTATATACAGATTAAAATAAAGAAATGCAGCAAAGATGGTTTGGGTGATCCTGGCACAGTCATCAGCTCAGGGCCCTTGCCCCCTCTACACACAGACCAGACAGCGAATGGAACACTACCTAATCGAATCCACCAAGAACTTTTTGGAGAATGTGAAGACTCCCCAGCACTGCAGCCTTCTGTATTACCCAGACTGTCAGAAGGACTGTATTCCTGGTACTCTCCCAATGTCAATCCACAGACTAAGAGGTACCAAACCCCAGAAAAGGCACTGAGAACAATGGGGAGTATGACAACTTGGGATGCAAGCGTAACATTTGGAAAGCAAGGTCCGCATATTTGCCATGTTTTTCCTGAATCTTGTCAATCACATAGCCAAAAGGGACAGAGAATTCTATGCCATAAGAGTTTCATTGGATTTATCAAAAAGGACAAAATCTGGTTTGTTGGTGTGGATAGGTCTGATGCTGTATACGGGCCTATTCCGAAGAATTATATATTTATCATTTTCCATGCCCTCTACATAGTCAGGGTTGTACCATTGATGGACCTCTGTGTCAATACCACAAGCATGGGGAAGACGGTAATAAAATGCTGTTCTACCAACACATTGCACATAAACTCGATGCAGTGGTCTTCAGAGAGCCTTCCCAGAGTGGCACTTCACTTAGTTGACACTCATTTCCATACCATCCAGCAGGACAGAACCAACAACATATACTGACATATATCCTACGTCCTTGACTCGTTTAAGAAAACTATGGAATGCCTTGTTTTCATCATGAGTCTTGACATGCTTCACAAGAGTGCACAATACAATTCTATCATGAAGAGCCTCCTCATTAATCAAACCACGCCCTTCCATGATAAGAAAACAAAAAGTCAGCAAGTGATTTATAACACAAATACATCACCAACTGGTTCTTTAGAAACAAAAATCACCAAGTGGTTCTTCAGACAAAGAGGTCACCAAATGATTCTATAGACAAAGAGGTCACCAAGTAATTTATATATAAAGTTGTCAGCAAGTGGCTCTTGAGACAATATGGTCATTAACCCTTTCAGATGTGAAGTGCATCCATAATGCAATTCAATGACATTTTTAGCATGGACATGGAGTGCCTTTTATAATATACTTCCTTAATTTTGCTATTATTCCAGACAGCTAACTGCAAATATTTCATTAAGGACGAAATAAAGAAATACAATCAATGAAATAAAGTAGAAGCCTCACGTCACAACAAAATGAATGACTCCTAATTCAATATGAAAATGTTAATATAGTTCTGTTGTATGACTACAGG